CAAGGATCGCTTGTCCGTTCGGCAAGCAGTGGTCAAAACTTCACACCTCTCAGCTGCTATCCTGTCTGATAATGACATGCGTCAGTCTTACGTGTCTTGCCTTTCATAGGACCACTGTTTGACCTATCAAAAACAGAAACGTTTGAACATCTCCTTTGCTTCCCCCCTTAGTCCCACCCACCAATGCCACCCCTCACTGCCATTGTTGTAACAACGATTCGAGGAACTCTTCTTGGCTGGCCATACGATCAGGGCGGCTGGCATTGGTCAATCTAATTTCACACCTCTGGCTTCTGGCTACCCAGGAAAGTTTCCGTAGTGGCTGGCTACTCAAGCACTCTAACGGGCAGTCGTGAGATTTCACACCCACACTACACTGACCATCTGCATCACTCAGGGCTCACATGATGGGGTAACATCTACCCCCAAATAGCACCCCCTACTCCCCTTCCTCGCCCAACGGCATGGCCATGGCGTTAAGTTTAAAGCCAACGGAACCAAACTTGCGAGTTTTGTTTCAAATCAGGGCTGAGCGGGCAAAGCATTTTCCGTCTTAAACAGGTGAAACCCTTGGAAGGGAGCGGATTTTTCTTTCCGTTTCCGCGTTGGACAGGTTTCCGTTTTATACAGGTAATTAATGAGGAATATGTCAAGGGGGGAGCGGGGAGATTCTGTTAAAACAGATTTCCGTTTTACATGGGTTTCCGTTAAGGCAGTTTCGACTGTATCTAGAAGGGGAAGGCAGAAGAGTAATAAAACGGATGCTGAGGAATATTTTGTGAGGTATTTGTCATGTTTTGTCTCGTGTTAATTATGATGCCTCTTTTCAACTTGGTTATTTTAGAGGTAGGACCTCTATAATGAAGTCCATCTCCAAAAGAACCATGGGCATTGGTAAAGAGCCATGAAGACTTTCTAGACTGTGCAAGTTCAAAGAAGTCTAAAAGGGTTAGAATCAGGGTAGTCTGTGTCATAATCTAGCAAGGTACGGACTGATATGGCACATTATGTTATACAGTAGAACTCGGGTTCAACGAGCTCGGCACGGGTGCACTTTTCACCCGATTCTGTTACTTTTAGTTGGCGTGACTCAGTAGCCCGCCGGAGCTCCCCGGCTCGGGGTCAGGGGATGGGATTAATGAGCCCTGAAGCGACTTTGCCGGTGTCGGTTAAGAAGTTAGCATTTTTGTCTACGTTTGAAATGATATAACTTCTTCCCCATTCCATACAGCAAACCATTATGTGGATGTACTAAAAGCTTTATGTCTGGAGCATTAGAATGGTTAATTTCCTTGCCTTAGTTTTTGTTCTAGACAACTGTGTGTAGAGTACCCAATTTGTCGTATTTTACTTACATACTTATGAATAAATGATTGTTTATTATAAAACGGCACGACAGATCTCTCCAAATTATGTGAAAAACTGACTACGAATATCATGTCTTTTACCATGAGAAATCTTAAATCTGCGCAAATAGTAATAGTCAAGTTATAAGAGAAGAAAGATGCACATCTGTATTTTTTAACTAAAGAAACTCAGTGTTAGCTTTTGTTCTAGTATGAAACAAGAGAAAGATTCTCTGCCTTTATTTATGATTTAAGCTGTGTCTGTGGCAGCCTGCAGAAAGATGTATTATGCGATTTTTTTTAAAACACAAAACTGTGTTAATACATGGGTAGAGATGAACTTCTTGTATGGAATAAAAATAATGACAGCTGACACATTCATTCTTAGTTTTTGTGTCCGACATATGCACGTACACTTATGAATTTGTAAAGATATCAGAACAATGTCAGTTTTTGCAAATGGTCATAGAAACGAAAATGCTGGAAAAGTCTGGTGCTAATTCAGTGTCACTGGAAAGCTATAATTATGGAAGTCAAGAAATCTGCATTTTCCCGCAGGTTTGGGAATTTTTATGGAGTTTTTTGGTTTTTTGGTTCAACACCTTTCATGCCCATTAAAGAGCATTTCTGTGTGAATTGTACCGAAAAACGTTGATTAAAGGCAGAAGAAATGTAAATTTAAATGTTCTGTTTCCATGGACTCTCCGGCTAAAGAAATAACTCGACTTTTGCGGCCATTTTCTCTCTAATTTTACCTCTGAAACCAGATGACTCTCACCTCCTTCAATCACACATATCTCGACTTCTATTCAACATAGATGGATATTATTTTCACCCAAAAGAAGGAAAATGGACAGACCTTAGGATGATACCATCAACTCCTCATGCCGAAAAATTGATGAGAGCCTGATTCCACCATATATGTGTCACGACGTGATGGAATCAGGCTCTCGTCAATTTTTGGACGTATGGGGTTATTGGTATCATCTTAAAGCCTGTTTATTTGCCTTCCTTTTGGTGAAAAAAAATCTATCTATGTTGAATAGAAGTCAAAAATTTCAATTGAAGGAGGTCAAGGTCGCCTGTTTTCAGAGGTGAAATTAGCAAGAAAATGGCCTCTAAAGTTTGATAATTAACATTGCCTGACAGTCCTTGGAAACTGAAAATTTACATTTTTTGTGCCTTTAATCAATGGTTTTCAGTACAATCCACACAAAAGTGAGTTTTTAAAACATGAAGCTACAGCGTGCACCTAGTAGGCCTACATCTCTGTGAATGACCCAATTATAGATGACGTATTTCCACCATCTATTTTTATCGTCTTCCGGGGCTTCCCTCTCCAGTTGATTAGATCTCACCACGACGGGCCCACTTTGCATGTGTGTGTGTGTGTGTGTGTGTGTGTGTGTGTGTGTGTGCACACGCTTGTGTGTGTGTATAACTTTGAGGAGAAGGTAAATTTATGGAACGAGATCTGAGATTGTTTATAAAAGATGACACAAATTAATACAACAACAAAAAAAACAAAGACAGGGAGTCAACAGTTCAAGAGAAACCCAAGAGTCCTGGGGGAAGCTCCGGAAGATGACAAAAATAGATGTCATCTATATTTGGGCCAATCCGAGAGGTGTGCTAGGTCCTCACTGTAGCTTCATTTGTTTTTAAATGGACTTAAAAGGTGTTGAGCCAAAAACTGAAAATTAGAAAAAAATTGCGCATCCGCCAAAAAAATGCAGATTTCTTTAATTTAATTTTTTTGAACGAGTGCCTGATTCCACCACGATGCCTCACATATGCACAATTATTTTTTTATTTTTATGAAAGAGTTTATTTTCCTACTGCTGAGAAATTTTGCTTTCTGGGTTTAGACAGAACATCTGAACAGCTTGCTGACAATAGTATCTGCTTTCTGCTTTGTCTACCAGTCAGAAAAGCTGAAAGATGTTCCCTGCTCGTGCTGCCCTCTGTGTAGGAGGGAGAGGGTCAACAGCACTGCTCTGGTTGTGTCAGGGTGAGTACGTTTGCATTACTTTGTTTTGTTGCCTTCACCCGCCGTGTTCACGTTTGGCTGATTCAAAGGTAAAAAAGAAACATTTGATTAGTTTTCGCTGTATTGGGGTGGGAGGGTGTTCTTTCCCCACACTGATTCAGCTCCAGACTTGTCAAGATTTTCTTTCAATTTCTCTTGCCACTTTCAAAGACCAACTACTTTCTGATTTGTTCACATTTATAAGTGCACCCACACATTTCTGATCCCTCCCAAAAAATGAGAATGAATATACTGAAGAACAGGATTATAGTGGCACCCGCTTCCCTACAGCGGGACGTTACTGGAATCCCCGGTTTTCTTCCTATAATGTAAACTCAATTACTTATGCCTGGATATAGGGGGACAAGGAAAGTCCTGAACTCGGATACAGCGGGAGAGATCGAGCTAGCTCTAGCGGGGGGGGGGGGGGGGGGGTGGTTGTAGGCGGGCTACAAATAAAGAGTCAATTGTTGTGATTGGCTAGTCCAGGGATGAGTGAGGTGGGGCAGGCGGTAGGCCTAAAGAGAAATGGTGGGGAGAGAGAGATGGTGCGGAGGGACGCGTTAACCACTCCAAACGTGATGTAGATTTGTAATAGCCCTAGCCCTAGACTAGGCCAAAAAGTAAAAGAAGAGGAGAGCATGTAGTGTGTGATTCCTGATTCATTGAATTGCGATCGTTGATGCTCAACCATACGCACGCATCCACTTCACCAGTTCTACAGTTGCCCTTCCGGTACGATAGACAGCACTAGCAACATGACAGAGGAAAAGATGGCTTCCAACAAAGACTAAAGGAAATGCTTCTCACTCGAATTAAAAGCCGAGATAATCAACGAAGATGACAAGAAAAGGAAGACTACTCTAAAGCGAAAATTATATTGACATGGAAGGGATGTAATCATGTGGATAGTAAAGAAAATTTTCGGTAATTTCCCCTTTGCATTCCTGTAGCGGGAACTCATTTACAGCAGGATATTTCTTCTGGAACCAAAAGTCTCGCTATAGCCATGTTCTACTGTATTGGCTGTCATTTTTATTGTCAGGTCCATTTCTGCTCACGGCCTTTCCCGGTTTGGGTTTTTTACATGATTGCTGATGTTTCTTAGTTGTATGCAAGCTACTACAGGTACTCTACAACGTATAGGTCATGCAACGTCTTTGTCTGCTGTGTGTTCCATGGTAAAGCGGGCACCAAAACTGAATGTTTTTTGTCAAGAAATGTTGATGTCTACTTTCTTCTCTAAACACTTAGCTTTTATCATCCAAACAGACTCAAAACTTCTCAGCCTAGGAAGAGACCTGATATTTACTGTCATTTCAACATAGACTTTGAATAGATTTATTGAACCAATGTTAAATAAACAGTCATTGAGTGAAATATCTGTAACTAACAAGAGGACAGATTGGGTTCTCTACAAAAACACTCATTTATAGAAAAAAGCAAAACCTGAAAATGACCACTCAAATGAAAAATGAATGTCGAAACATTGCGCTTCCAGTCTATCTGTGTAATTGTTTTATGTGGAGGATGGGGAGGAAGTTATATCTTTTCAAAAATAGACCAAAGTGTGACCAATACTGGCAGAGTCACTGGGGATTATGGTATAGTCGTTTGTTGCTTTGCAGTTGTTGGCTAGAGACTTGAGTTGGGAGAATTTTTGTTGTTGTTGTCTCTATCTTTCTGTTTGGGTGTGGTAGGTATCCCTCTAAGCGCAGATTGTTCGTCACAGACAGGGTGGAAGCAGCCTGCTTCTTAATTTATCTAAATTGTGTTGATGGGGCTGTAAAAGATCTTCAATTACAGCAACAGTTAAGATGGTCGTCGCCTCCATGCTTGCTAACCCTGATGACCCCAGTGCACCAATGGGCTGATGAGTCATGTCAGCTTAGAGGCACAGGATCGTTAGAAATATGTGATGCATTGAAAATGAAAAAATAGAATAGACATTGCTTGACATTATTTTTAAGCCAGAGCTAGCCGGACTATTCAGCAACAAGAGCCCCCCTATCCCGCACACCCTACCACTCTAATTATGTCCAATACTGAAGGCCAGGAGACTAGGCCTACCCACTGTTTAAACAACCAAACTGTGTCTATCATACCCTTAACTGTAGATATAGTGGACATATATTTCCAACCTACAGTATACCAAAGGCAATGTTGCTGCACTGTTCGATCCACTGTGCTAATGCAAAACTCAAATTTGCATATTTTATAGTATGCTTGTTTGTGTATGCCTTTTTCAGTTTTTGATATAGAAAAAAAATTTGAAAAATCTGCATGGATAGCGAAATTAAAATAATAAATTGAAAATAACATTTTTATTGATCGCAGAAGGGCAACTTGGTTTACAACAGCAAACATACGTACACGCGCGCACACACACACACACACACACACACACACACACACACACACACACACACACACACACACACACACACACACACAAACACACACGCACACTCGCATGCACACTCTCACACATATGCACGCACACAAACACTTACTCACACACACACATACACACACACAGACATACACATATATTCATACATACATACATACATACATACATACATACATACATACATACATACATACATACATACATACATACATACATACATACATACATACATACATACATACATACATACATACATACATACATACATACATACATACAGACATACAGACAGACAGACAGACAGACATACAGACAGACAGACAGACAGACAGACAGACAGACAATATCACACCCATACTGAAAAATTTCTCAACCATGCCATTGCCAGTCGCCACTGTTTTAGTGAGGGTTTCTAGCTAGGGTTGTCGTGGCTTGCTCAAGGGCACACCCCAGTGACCACCCATCTGATCCCCATGTCACCGACATTTTCTTGACTTTACTCTTGATTCTAAACTCACTACTCAGTTATAGTCCGGACAACACCAAATGGACAACTTGTCTACCTCATTACATCGAAACTAATTGGCGAATTGCCTTGGTTTTTTGCATGTGCCTCTGAATTCCAAAAATCCTTAAAAATCTCGATTTTGGTGCACGTGCGACAAATTATAAAGAGATGGGTTTTTTTATATAATCATTAGTATTTTATTACAGTCTCGGCGGGAATTTTTTTTATTAGAACAAGAACAACGGTTGAGTGTCAGGTTTTTGGGGGTTTTTTGTTCAAATCTATTTTCTTTTTTCTTTAACTGACTGCATGTGCGGCAAGACTTGAGTTTTTTTCTGTCCAGCGGTTAGTGGGTAACAGTGGGTTTATTTAGATTGACTGATTAGTAATTGTGATATACAATGAGTAAAATTTCTTTCTTCACAGTCTTTGAGATGGCATGCGTTTCAATTTGCTTTTGCGTTTTCATTTATCACCATGGTTAGATTGCTTAATTTTTAAAAAACACAAAAAAACATTGCCTGAAAACTACTGAACTATTAACTACTGTGATAATGTTGACCTGTCAGAAATGATAATAAAATAATAATAATAATAATAATAATAATAATAGTAATAATGATGGTAATAATAATAACAATAATAATAATAATTCTTCCAAAAAGACTACTTTCATATTTAGGTGGTTCGAAAATGTATGTGTATAGAGGGGGAGGGCGGCTCTGCCTTGGACCAGCAAGGGGGGCTCTCGTGGCCTAGAGGTTAAGGTGTTGGCCTCTCATTCAAAAAGTCCCAGGTTCGAATCCGGGTAGCGACCGAAAAATTTTCTTCTCTAAATTTGTCTCCTTTCACCTCATTTCCTGCTCTCTAGCAATGTTCTGTCGTCTGCTTTCGTCTCCTCTTTCTGCCCCCACCCCCTCACCTCCTTTGCCCCTTCCTCTGCAGCCTTTCTACTGCTACTCCTTCGCTTCTTCTTACTGCTGTCTTTCAGCCACACCCCTGATCTTCTGGTAGGTAAGATCTACACCTAACCTTCTCGGACAAGGGCGAAAAATCTCGGAGAGCCCGTGTGCAAGTTGCGCACGTTAAAGATCCCTTGGTGGTCTAAAATCGATAAGAGTAAGCTTCGGCCGCCACCCGGGCAACATTCAAAATTTCCTACCAACTGAAAATGTAAGGTGTGTCCCGCGCGCTCATATGACCTTATGCAGTTGCGAGCGCCGTAAAACACTTTACAAAAACAAACAATTGGACCAGCACGTGGGAGGGGGTGCCTCTGCTTCAAAGTTAGCACTCTGTTGATCCTCAGTTTTGAGTTTGACCAAACTGTATCATCCCCCCCCCCCCCCCCCCCGAATTTTCTGGCTGAGCCCCTGCAACGACACCCTGTATTGTTATGGTTTAAGCATTGTACCGTGCTTGCTATTAAAAAAAACTTGCAGTGTTGAGTTTTATGAGTTATCAATTATTAATGATTATATAGACAGCACCTTTTTATATTTGTCGCACATGCACGAAAATTGAGATTTTTCATGTCTTTTAGAATTCAGAGGTGCATGTAAAAAAATCAGAGAGATTCGCCTCTTAGATTCGGTGTAATGAGGTCGACAAGTTGTCTATTTGGTGTTGTCCGAACTATAGCCCGTTCACTTTCGTCTGACCGCGGTTAAAACGGGATAAAAACAAATTGCTGTATTTAATCTTTCTGGGTCTTTGCATGCGAGTTTAAAAGTTAAGCGACCAACAGAATCTAAAAAAGCCCATTCATAAAAGTCACTGCAGACAAATGTTCCGACACATTTTTTTTTTTTTTGGTGTTAATATAAGCCTAATGCGTGTCAAAAAATAATAGGGGATGATTTACAGCATACACCTAAAACATTTTAAAGCTGACACATTTCCCCCAACACCGCACTTTAACGTACGCTTAAGAAACACGATTCAAGAGATGGGGTGAGTATTTTCGAGACTCACGTGGAGCACGTGGAGACGTCAAGACAGCCGGGGGGATGAAATCGACAAGCTTGCACTGAAATGTGCGGGCAGGGCGGTGTCGCTGTCTCAAAATAAGCAATTTGCAGGCAAGGCTACTGTAAGTAATTTATTTTAGTGATCCTGTGTATGCATCCAAAGAACAGTTTTTAATATAGGGCCCAAAGAGAAAAACTTTTGTTATCACAGGGTCAAGATTTTTTTTTAAATCTTGTTTTGGAGTTGACCTGCAGAAGTGTCATGCAAAGTTTCGTGGGTATAGGTAAACTTCTCAATGAGCAAGAATTCCCTTTACGGGGTCAGACGAAAGTGAACAAGCTATAGAATCCCCATTATACCTCTTTGTTTAAAGTGACCCAAATAATAATGATGGATAACATTTGTATAGCGCAAATCCCCGCTCAACAGCAAGCTCTATGCGCTTTATTATCCCAGCAGAACCGAAAGCTTTCTGAAACAATGTCATCTTCCTGGGAAGCATACAGTGCAAGCGGCCATTTATATTCGCTAAAGCTAAAACACTAACATACTGACAAGATCTTTTGCTCTCTATGGTCGGGTACCCATTCCCTCCTGGGTGAAGTGAGGAAAATTCGTGTAAAGTGCCTTCCCAAGGAAATAACGTCAAACCCTCAAACCCGCAACCTCACGATTACGAGTCTGGTAGCCTAATCACTAGGCCACCGACAGTCCCAAAAACTGTCAGACCCAAAAACAGTGCATTGTTGAAAGACCAGAAGGCACACCCTTAATCAATTAAACAGCTTCACCCACTAACTCTGTTGGAAAACTAGATGATGTGTGAAAGTAAGCCATGACTGTGACAGTTAATGCTGTGTCCTTTGTTTGAAATCTCGTTCCTCCAGTCTATATAAACCATTTTTCAATCTGTCCAGGTATGTCTTCTGCTACACGTGCATCAACGAGCACGTGAAACGCCACCGCTGTTGTCCCATCACTGGATTCCCAGCTACAGACGAACAGCTTGTGAAAATCTACGAGCAGCAGTTGTAGCAGAGAGTTCTTGAGGTTCCTTGTAACACCGGTGCTTTGTTTTGTGGCATGTCCATGGACAGATGAACTGGCTATACTTGCCATTGTTGATGAGTCAGATAACAGTCATGTGCTTCTCAGGAGTTTTTATTGTAAATCAGAAAATGTTTTTTTAAGATGATAATAAATTATTAAGAATTTGTTAACATTGATTTGTTGCCTTTTCTTTTCATGCCTTGTGTCGTTTTCGTGTAGTGAAAGGTTAAGATTATTTATTTAAGGAAAATAATTTTCCAGAATAAAATATGTCCTGCGAATTAATTTTTAATGGGCTTGTCATGGCAAGGTGTGGTAGTTCATTGCTGGACGTGAAAGCATCCCTGACCACAAAATACTTGAGGTGAAAGCTGTTCTACTTATTTTGTTAAATAAAGCTGAGAGGGAAATGTTGGACATCTTTCCCCTTTGACTGATGAGGGTCGGGCTTTTATCAGTATTATCACCACAGTGCTTACAACTTCCTTAATTCCTATGTATTGGCCGTGTCTCGTCTTTAGAGCGTAGTATCAAGGAGGTAAAGATCTGAAGGGATAGAAGTAGGCCTAGTTATTGAGCAATCTACTCTCTCTCTGTCTTTTTTGTTTCAGTACCGGTAAATGTTTTACGGCGATCGCAACTGCATAAGGTCATATGAGCGTGCAGGACGCATTTAACAGTTTCAGTTTGGTTGGAATTAATTATGAATTTTGTGCAGGGGAGGGAGGGGGGGGAGACTTCTCTTATCGATTTTGGACCACCCAGAGATCTTTAATGTGAGCAACTCAATGATCCACTGCAACGTTTTCCAGAAGAGCTTTAAAGCAACAGCGAAAAGTATCCACTCGATGAAGACCAGAGGGTTCTTGTGATTTGAGGCACTTTACACCATCGCATGAAAGGGGTTTGGGGGGGGGGGGATAGGTGCTGTTTGTGATAATGTGAGAGAAGGAGAAAAAGAGGGACAAAAGAGAGAGGCAAAGAGATGGAGGGAGCCAGGGAGAGAGAGCCCGTGCTGGCCTTGACAGGCAGACTTTTTTAAATCGAGCACAGGTACCTCAGTCTTTCTGGTTGACCCTGACAGGCAGGTTAAATCCCACCTTCTTAATGGCCTGAAGTGTGTCACTTTTGCTGGCAAAACACTGGCTTTTAACCCGATCCGTACGTCATGTTTTACTATCGTATCTACTCGTATACGACGTGGGGCACTCTGTACCACGACTTTCCAAAGAGGAAATTTACTCGTTAATCCGAACCGTAAGCTTTGTATAGCAGTCTGTCAAAATTATTTTTTTGAGAAATACTGAAAGTTTCAAAGAGATTGCACTAGAAGCATTCTAAAATGTGAAGAATACAACCCCCGGGGTACAAAATGACCCCAAGGCGTACGGATACGGATAAAATAAATCAATGAGACTTCGTGGCCTTGCAATAATTTCTGTAAACAGGTGTATAAATGTAGTCAAACCCCGTTATACCGCCTACCTTGGGAAGAGCATGAATTTGGCAGAGCAGTAGGGCTGGAGTCTGCTCGATTAATCGAAGGCTTGCGAGCAAACGGACGGCTCGTGCCAGAGGCTTGCGAGCGGGCTTGAGTCTTGCCCCCTACCGGAGTTGCTACTCGTGGACGGCGGACGGGCTTACTGATTTGTGTCGTGACGTCACAAACTTTTGTTTACTGAGCGCGCGATACTTCTGCCCGCGTGCCGCACGCTGACAAGCCCTTAAAAAACCCTCACACTTCCAGCGATGGCTCTGTTTGGGGAGGGGAGGGGGTGGTATGGCTGGGAAAGTGAGAGGTGTTCGCCACCCCGCGCTTTCCGTAGAACCCACCCCTCCCCTTACGCCTCCTGGTTTGACAGGGTTTTATTTGTCTTGTTT